ATAATGTTATAAATTTCGTGTGATGTTGTTATGTAGGTTTTTTACTAATTAGTGTAAACACGTGATCAAATACTTTTGTCCAGGGAGTGTATGATTAAAATCAAGTTTTCGTACACTGTAATTTATTGGGTCTTTTAATTAGCATTGGTTAGGCCAGAAAATACAGTTAGAACATGCTGTGTCTTTTTCAATGTTTAAGGAATTTTTGCATATTCATACATCTTAATCTTGATCAGAATGGTCAAAAAATACTCTGATAGAAGATAGTTAAAAGATGTGTTTTTTTGCAAAAACTACTCTGACATGCTTGTTTTTGAATTTAGATATCGGATGACTAAAAATATATAGAAGGCTACTGTATATATATACCTTGGAAATAAAATTAATGGGAAAAAGTGTAGAGAACAGCAAATTTCAGAATAATACAATAATTGATAAAAAATTTTATATAAATTAAATGAATACATAATTGAGAAAAAATTATTTCTCGCAAGTTCATAATAATAGAGTGTAAATTAAAGAATACATAATCAAGAAGAAATTATATATATATATGTATATAACTTTCTATTACATCGTATAACTTTCTATCATATTGTATAACTTTTTATAGTCAGTTGCAGACAATTCTCCAATTACATTGGAATTCAAATAAATAGTGTTGTAAATCCTTTCTTTGTTTACTAATTTAAAAAGTCTGTATACTCTTATAGCATTTGTAAAATGCCTTTTTTCGCTCATAAATTTTTTTTCTTTTACTACAACCCTCCATTTCTCTCTATAGTTATTATATTTTAGTAACTCTTCTCCAATATAATAAGAATACATTAGTTTTTCAATTCTTCCTTGCTTTCTCCCCAATGTAGTTATTTTATTTAATACTTTTTCACATTTAGTAGCTAAACTATTAGTTTCTTTATATGGAGCCATTATTACCTCTTCAATTCTTGAGTCAGGTAAAAATATGTCATTAAGACATCTGTTAAGCCTAGCATCAGATTGTGTTGATTTGGTCATGATTGTGTTTATTATTAAAATTAAAGATAATTGGTTAAAGATAATTGGTTATTATTATATTGATGTTAAAATTTGAATTGTTTTTTCGTTAGATTTGCCTTCATTTTTATATCTGTTTTTTCATTACAAGATTTAATACATACCGTAATATATACCAGTTGCATACCATATATTATGGTACAAGTTGCATACCATATATTGCGAGCGTGTAAATTCAATTACAGCTCGGGTTGTGTCCAATAAAATATATAAGATAAAATAAAATAAAAGTCC